GTGTGCATGTTTATTTGATAGGGCAGTGGTTATGGCTCGTGACTTGGTAAGGGATGCTATGAGACCCTCTGAACTTGGCATTGTTTGGAGATGTGGATGTCACCCAGGATGGCTGATTGATTGTCGACTATAGTTTCCAAAGTAAAGACCAACATGGCATCGTGCATATTATTCCACTGTATCTCCCCTTGCATGTGTCCTGATTTCAGAAATAGGCCTGGATAGAATCTCTTCCTTGCTGAAAGGAAACCGAGTCCTTCCTATCTCAGAACATCCTATCTTTCTCTTCCGAAGGCACCTTTCGTGGAAGGTTCTGTTGGAGCTACAGGAGCAAAGACTTCCTGTGCTTCTCAGTGAGCTGGTGTGTAGTGGCTAATGAATGGCTGCACTTTGGGCAGGGTTTCATCAAAGACTTAATTTCATTATTGTATTCCATCTGTCGCCAATGGCCAGAGGCCATCAGTATTTACAAAAGACCCTGGCATCTTTAAATAGCCAAATGGACACCATCAGCTTGTCACCCGGGACCCTGACATTTGGCAGGAAAAGTGATTCATTCAGAACATTTGTTAATGTCAGCCTCTCTAACATTGCTTGGAAAATTCTTCCAGTTCCAAGGTGCCACTATTATTTCGAGCTGCATGACTGGCCAACCACCTCTAACTGGTTGCCATTATCCCTTTAGATACTCACAGAGACAGGGCTTACATCAGTATATAACTGAATACCGTGACTTGCCAAAACATATTTACATTTTGTGACATTTTATAAAATTAACTTGTCTTTTTGGGGTGCTTCATGGTGAATAAAGCTTCCACTGTCCTATAGCCACTGTAAGATTTTGAATTGCTAGTGAGAGATAGAAATCAGTCTTTTAATGCATGCATCCTACAACTTTTACTAAATGATTCATTGTAAAGATTGAGTGCCAGAGTGGTAAGAGAGAGAGAAGGAGGGAGGGAGGGAGGGAGGGAGGGAGGGAGGGAGAGAGAGAGAGAGAGAGGAAGGAATGAGGTTCAGAGAGTGACACACAGAGAGAAATCAATCTTAAGTCCTCTGGTTCACTTCCCATGGTTTTGCAGTAGGTGGGGCTGGGCCAGGCTGAAGCTAGGATCAGGAGCTCTGTTCAGGTCTCCTTCGTAGGTAACAGTGATGGGCATGTTTGGCCATCATCTGCTGTTTTCCAAGGCATTCTAGCATGGAGCTGGATCAGAAGTAGAGGAGCCTGGGTTTGAACTGCTGCTCCCATGTGGCCTGTGTGCATTGGAAGTGGAAGTTTAACCTGCAACACAGATCCCTGTCTTACTTTGAAGCAGTGAAACTTAATCATCAGATCCGGAAACTTGTAAATATTTGATATCCATTAAAAACGGGATACCTTTGTATCTGTCTTTGCCGCATTTCATTAGGCAGTTAAGTTTGCCCTTCTAGACCAAGGTAGGGGGATGGTTTAATATATAATTAGCAGTGAGAGAAGAACAGTAGTCGGTGGTGTCGGTTACTTGTCAAACGAGCCTTTGAACATCCTCTGTAGAAACAGGTTGATCCATCCGGCTGCTGTCACCAGACATTTCTGAAGCGAGAAAGCTGTCTTATTCAGTGAGATACAACACACTTTGATTGTAGAAGGGATTTTGATTTGGGTTGAGGACATTGATAGATAACAGGAAAGGAATCTGCTGTTAGCTCTTCTATAAGTGTAATTATGCAGGTTAATCTTGGCTTTGACTTTTCTTTTATAGTCCTCAGGAAAGAAGCTCTGTGAACTTTATTGTATGCAGTAACGTTGAAGTAAGCCCAACCTATCTCTGTAGCTCATGTGATTAATTGTGGTCCAGCACTGGCTTCAGGAAATGCTGTTCTTGAAGCCGGCGATCTTCCCTAAGTGAGGGAAACTGGAGATTTCTTATGACTGCTTCTCCTTGTTAATTTTCACTTATAGAACAAAGATGACAATTGGCAGAAAAAGGCATAGAGGAAATGTTGTAATTGCCTTGAAGGCCTGCATTGTACCTCCACTCCCTTACCTGGTCAATCTAATACTCCAGCTGTCTCATGATGCACTGGGGCCAGGAAACAGAAGACACCAGCACGACCACCTGGAAGTTACGTTGTACATGCAAGTGTCTTGAAACTCCAAGAAAGCTTCACACGTATATTACGTTAGGGTGTCACCCCCCCACCCCTTAAAGGGACTGTTATATGTGGGAGCACCCCTTTTTTCCTTTCGCTTCTTACCCTGTTTGTTCAGGATGTGTGGGTCATGGTCCATGTGGGATTGCCCACACTCGTGTGTCAATACGTATCTACTCTCCCACATCTTCATTGTGTTTATGCCTCGACTTTGAATTATGATCCCTACGAGGTCAAGAACTTAGAATAAAAAACAGGATCTTTATTTAACAAAGGATCATTCTTCTATGTGACTATTCCAAGATGGTGGAGGGCTCACACCTTTTTGGTGCGTGTGATTCATTGTGTGTAGAAGTAAGGCATCCTGCCTTGGAATGACAGAAACACTGACAGCATCCTGCTCTGGGACATCTGGCAGTCAGATGCCTCCTTAACAGAAGGTTCCCTCACAGAGGGAGCCCACTGTGCCAGCCATGTGCACGCCCATGGGAACACAAGTATTGATGAGCACATATCTGACACCCTGCTTTATCAGTGCTAAGTCACTCCTGATGATTTACATGTCTAAATCCACCATGGCTCCTAGTTGCGTCCTTGGAAGGGAGATAAATGATGAATCAGGCTTGTCTTCCTCCCACAGTAGGTCACTTTAGGAAGTTCTAGCTGTTGGCCTAGGATCCTGTGGCATTATCTGGTTCCCTAGCCAGCCCTGTGTGGCTTGCTGAGCTGGATGTGGACAGCATGGTGCCAGCCCTGAGCACCTGATTCATGGGCATGTCTTTCTGCTCCCAACCTGGCTAGGTTTCCTAAGAGGGATGGAGTTATAGCCCACATATTCTCTGAGGTATCTTATCTCTGCATCTTTGAACTTCCCACAACAGGGCAATCACTTGGGTATATCTCCTTCAGCCCCCTCCTTTCTACTGAAGCCACTTGCTGGCTTCCTGTTCCATACATATTAAAGGCATTTCAAGAGATTCATGGAAGATACTTCTTGTCTTTTAATTCCAGTTTCCCTTGAATGTATTAAAGTAACCTCGTGTGGACACACACATCCCTTTTAAAGCAACACCGCTCTTTTGATCTGCCAGATCCATCTGCCTGAGTTAATACTGGGACAATCATGTCATAAGATTGATTACCACAATATTCCACTCCCAGTAGATGCATACATAAACAGTTCATAGCTTCGCAGTTGAATGTTAAACAGAGAAGCTCAGAGAAGTAGCAACTCCTAGGGTGTGTGGAGAGTTGAAATGGGGTGGCGGGGGTGGGAGTGGGGCTCAAGGTGGGGATGGCGGTAGGAAGGGCTAGTCTTGTGGTGCATCTGGTTAAGCTCATATCTGGGATGACCACATCCTGTAGTGGAATGCCTTGTTGGAGCCCCAGCTGTTCCACTTTCTAGCCAGTCTCCTGCGCTGGAAAGCCTTAGAGTTGATGCCTTCTTTGCTCTCAGTATGGTCTCCCTTGCTGTCTCAGAAGGGTGCGTGGTGAATGGTGGAGTCTCATGGGGTATCAGTGAGCCTCCTGCAGTGTCAGAGGCAGTGTGTGCTTTGGGTTTCCAAGCCACCTGGAATGAAGGAAGGAGGCAGGCCTGATGGGGCTCAGAGCTCAGCTTGAAACCATGGCTTCTAATTTCTCCTGTCTTTCTGTTCTTTGTATTTAAAACAAGTACAAGAGCACCTCAAATAGCTTACTGAAAAAAAAATAGAATTAAAAAAGCGAAGCTATTTTGATTGAAGACAAGGTTTGAAATCTATATGGGTTTTCATGTTTGTTTTGCTTGTTTGTGACTTGTATCCAAGCTTTCTAGTACCTGATCTGTTTTGGTCTGGGCTACAAAAAGAAATGAAAAGAAGCTTATGTCCTGTCATAGTTGGGTTCTGACTCTATAGCAGATGAATTCTAAACAGAAATGTTGGTGGCTCAGAAGGATATTGCCTGCATTTGGTCTGGAAACTTGTTAACATAACCTACACATATCTTCTTCCTTGTTTTGATTGTGAAGGATATGATTTTTTCAGGTTAAAAAAAAAACTGAGAACATTATTTGAGGAATCATGAGTTATTTAATGAAAACTCTTGAAATCATATGGAATCACTCAGAAATGTAACTACTTTGTGTACCGTAGCCAATAAGCCAAACTTTTAATAAAATCTAGGTGACAAAAGTCCTATGATGCTTAAAAATTTACTTTGCTCATTTAAGGTGTTTGTAGTTCTGTAAAGTAGGGCTTTTCATTTATATTTGTAAGATATTTTATTATTTTTATTCTGCTATGAACTTTTCAAGATGTTTATCAGGAACATTTGGAGTTGTATCAAGGACTATTTTATATATATGGTTTTCATGTTAGATTTCCTTTGGAAAGTAAAAATGACACTTTGCCATATATTGCTGAGAAAAGCCTCGGCTCTGAGGTTTTTCTTCACTGGGGTCTCTGATTTCACCCTTAGCAATTAATTGTTTTTTTGTGTGTGGCTCTGTGTCTCTTGGACATTGAGGTCTCCATGGTGCCTAATTGTGCCTGAGTCTCTCCAGCAGCTTTGCTTCGTGGCAACAAAGCTTCTGGGGCCAAGGGCCCTGAACGGGGCAGGACCAAGGAGCAGGGCTGCCATAGGACCCGTGCAGAACAACCGCTGATGGTCCTTGAGTGTCCTGTGCCAGCATGAGACCTTGCAGATACTTTTTGAGAAGTGATGACTGTGTGTGTGACATGCCAGCAGTGTCAACCTGTGAGCTCTCCACCCAAAATTTACAGTGCTCTGATGTCTTGCTTCCTTTCTTGAGAGCTTGGAAAGCGCCGGATAAATGCTGACTAAGTGGAATTAAGCATTAATTTGTCCTTTACTGTTGTGTGTTGCAGAGATCGGAGCACGAGGAAGTCTTAGTGGGCTTGTTGTTCCTGGTCTTGCCGTTCATTCCAGCCAGCAATCTCTTCTTCAGGGTGGGTTTTGTGGTGGCCGAAAGAGTCCTTTACATGCCTAGGTAATTATTGCCCATGAATATCCCCTCTTTCCCAGACCTGCCCTCTGCCTCTGCTGCCCGTAGCTCCAGACTCTATGACAGCGAGATCTCCCGAGAGAGACACTCTCTGAGGTTGGATGCTCCCTGCCTTGTGCATGGGCACCTGCCTGGTGCTGCTTTTCCTCCACTCACTAGCTTTTCTCCGGCCGCAAGTGTGCAAGCCAAATGCCATGTGTTGATCTGACCATATTCAGGATGTTAGCGGCAATCATGTACCACACCCTTTGTGTCTGAATATTTCTTGCTAAACAGAATGAGAATAATTTTCTAGAAATATCGCTGACATTCATCAGGTGATTTGTCCTGTGTATCAGCTTGTTTGTTTGTGATGAACTTCCTATCTGCTTCTATTCCTCTTCATCCCCCTTAATTTAAAAATGGGAATGATGTTAAAATAGTTGGTCCTTGAACAAAGAAACACTACTAAATACAACAGAGGATACCCCCATGTGTGTTGTTCCTCCGTGGCCCTATACTGTGACTCTCTGAGCCAAGGTAGCTGTTGTTTTACTCACATGATGTTATTATGGGCCTTGATTCTGTATTGTGTGATCCTGAGCAAGACTTGAAGCATTTTTTCCATCCACCTTTCCCATTCTTAAAATAGAGATTTTGGGGCCCAGCACAATGGCTCAATAGCTAAGTCCTCACCTTGCAAGTGCCCGGATCCCATACGGGTGCTGGTTCATATCTTGGCTGCTCCACTTCCCATGCAGCTCCCTGCTGATGGCTTTGTTGGGGAGAGGATAGCCAAAAGCCTAGGGATCTGTGTTGGAGACCTAGAAGAAGCTCCTGGCTTTGGATCGGCTCAGCTCTGGCCGTAGCAACCATTTGGGGAGTGAATCAGTGGAGATGGAAGATCTTTGTTTCTCCATTTCTACAAATCTACCTTTCCAATAAAAATAAATAAATATTTTAAGAAAAATAGAGATCTTGATGCAACTTTTGGAAGTGTACACTTTTTGCTTATGAGAATGCCTTTTAGAAAAATTGGTTCTTCAGTAAGTTCTGTGAAGATGACGTTTCTTGACGGTAGTATCATAAATCACAAAGTTGGAGGGAAATCATTGTCTCTTTATGATGCTTTCCTAGAGATTTAAAAATGTGTATCATTAGAAATGATTTCTGTAATGTCTGGTTCCCCCAAAGCCAAATGCCTCAAAGCGTTCAGACTTGGTAGGTGTTTTTTGTTTGTAACTTTTTTTCCCCATGATACAGTTCCATAGTCTCGGGAATTTTCCCTTCCTTTCCCTTCCCTGGCACACTGCACCGTAATGCCAGCCCCAGAGTAGGTTGCTGTTTACTGCCCAGTGGACGCTGAATTAATTCCCATGCCATCTCTATGCCCATCCAGCCACTTTCCAGACAGGCAGTCCCAGAAGATTCCAGATCCTGTGATCAGGGCAGCGGGGTGCCGTCCTAAACCCTTGTTGCGGTCCGGGGTTACTGAATAGGTCAGATCACTAGCCCTAGTTGGGCGAGGACTCAGATTCGGGAAGCTGCACTAACTGAACAGTGTGTTGCTTTTTCAGTGAGTCCCTGTCTCTCTTTACCTTCCTACTTGCAGCTAACAGTGAAAGGAGCTGCACCCTAGGAATTTGCTCTGGCCTAGAATTGGACAATGGGAGTAGTCCATGCTGAATGAGAACTGAGAGCCTGGGGTAGGAATTGACTTAATGGTTAGCATGCAGCATGGGGTGTTTGCAACCCAGAACAAGTGGCTGGGCTCCAGTTCCTGCTAATGTGCACCCTTAGAGGCACCAGGGCATGGCTCAAATGGCTGAGTTTCTGCTGACCATGGGCATGTGGGAGATATGGATGGAGTTCCCAGCTCCTAGCTTTAGCCCAGTCCAGCCCTGAAACCAGCAGATAGGAGATTCTTTCTCAGTCTCATTCTCATTCTCACTCCTTCCCCTGTTCCATGTCTTCAAAAGTCTTTCTCGGGAATAGATGTCACCTGGCCCTGAGCAGCTGGCCTCTTCTGGGTGGAGAATGAGTGAGAGCTCCCATGTCTTCCTGGAGTTGCAGGTGCTGCAGAGGCTGCAGGCAGGCTGCGGAGCGGCTTGGGCACTGGGTCAAGCCTGCTCCTTGTGAGCACCCTGATGATAGGCCTTGGTCAAGCCTTTCTACACACAGGGACCTTCTCTCCATGAACCTCCTTCTAGTTATGGCCACTTTGCGTAGTTCGAGTGTTGAGGCTCTTTGAGGATAGTCCCTGTTAGTGGACTCAGGTTGACTTGTGGTTGTGGCATGAGTAACCTTTATGAAAAGAAAGCCAGTGGAGTTACCAGCTTGAGATCTCCCAATGGGAAGGTGGGCTTCCACTCACCATGTTTCAAGCTACTCTGAAGCCAAACCCTAATCCTCCACGCTCACCTATGAATGTCACAAAAGTCTTCCTCTGCAGTGCTTAAGCTTGAATGCACCCCATCAGTTCCAGCGCATAGATTTAGAGGTTTTATGAGAAAAGCCAGCAATCAATCAGACCAGTGGTGCTTCTTGGACCTCTGCCCTTGAGCCCACCATTGAACCTGTCACGCTCCTTGCTGCCTGCTGGGCTGCCTTGAGTTTGAGCCAGAAAAGGCCAAGGATCCCAGCTTCTCCCTCCACCCAACCCCGATTGCACTTTGCAAGCTGTCAATAAAAGGGACAGCATTTGCTGAGCACTGCTTGGCCTCCACAGCAGGTGGAAGCATGGATCAGTTCCAGGTTGGAAGCTGTTCTTGGCTGAATAGACAGGAGATTGAGGAGGAGGGAGGGTAGAAGTCAGCTTCTTGTAGAAATTTTCTTTCCTCTTCCCAAGAGGAGTATGTAATTTCATGGCTGTCTTTTTTTGTCTTTCATAAAATCTACATTAGAATCCTTTAGTGAGCTACAGTTTCTTAGAATTAATGAAGCAGGCATAGGTGATGAAAACTCTTAAAATGAAGTTATTGGAAGTGATCAGAGATTCAGTCATCACCCAGAGAAAGGATGAGTTACAGCAAGTTCCCGAGCAACTTAAGGAAACTGGGGTTAGGTCAGAGGGAAAGAGAATTCTCAGGAACAAGTGGAGGGAGGCATGCACAGTGTTTTGGGATTGAGCTGATCAGGAATCATTGAAGCACTCGAAATGGAAGTGACATAGCAGGGATCCTAGGGAAAAGATAAATAGTAACAATGGCCTTGTGTGTTTCTAAGGGCAGAAATTTGACACAGCTTGGGACACTTGCCTCCCATCTGGGGTGGCTGGGCTGAAGTCACCACTCTGCTTTCCATTCCATTCCGGGGTGCTAATGGGTGTGTGCATTGGCGCTGTGCAGCATGGCTGTGGATGCTCAAAATGTAGGCAACCCTTCTGTCTGCAGCACATAGCAATCGACTCAGGGTGGAATTGTTGATCTTTGGCAGGTTGCTCTTAGAACACCAATTACAGGAGATGCTTCTCAGAGTATAAAGCGATTAGGGTTGCCTTGAAGTCCCACAAATTCTCTGTAATGGGGTCAGGCTGACGTTTTCCTTGCTGGGAACGAAGGGCTGGCTTTCCCACGCAGGTCCTGAGAGTGCTGCTTGGGTTTGCTTCGGGGCCACGTGGAAGGTACAGGGCAAAAGAAAGGCCTTGCCATGCTGGTAAATGTGCAATTTCACAGAACTTACTTTTCCCAAAGTGTTGAGTGCCCCTGTGTCAATGAGAGCAGTTGAACAGTTGGGATCAAGGAGGGTAATCCACTGTTGGGCATGGACAGTCGGTGAGCAGCAGGACAAGTGATGGTTAGCTGTTCACCTGGGCAAACAGCAACAAGAAACAAGAGGGTAAGGTCTGTCATTGAAGAGGGTGACAGGAGCGATGCTACAACCCTACTGTATTCAGAGATGACATGGTTCTGAGAGCAGGTGGGAAGCCTGCCTGTGCATTGGAATTTGCATTCTGAGGCTCAGGAATTAAGTCTGATATCTAAGCATGGGATTGGGACACCCATAAAAGTAACTTGTTTCCAGATCCATGACCGGTCAGGAATTGGTGAGGCTGAACCACTGTAGCTTGGTGGCAGCTGGGTCCTAGGGAGAGCAGAAAGCCCAAGAACCAGACAGAGGTAGCCATCCAGGGTCACCCTACCTCTTCGGCTTCCTTTGTTGTTTGGAACTCTTACCCTTTAGTGCATTAGTTGCACAGGGAAAGCTTGTCAGGGCACCACTCGAGCCAAAGCCGGGGAAAAGGATTCTTAAAGCTTTTCACCATTAATGTAAGGACACCAGCACCCAGAGGAGGGAGTCACCCTGTGTGCGTCCACATGTGTGCTGGCGGGATCATATGACTCCACTCAGTGATTCTTTAGATACAAGTCTGTGTTTTGTGCTTCTCGAACATGGTCATGTTACAACACCAGGTTTCTCTTGTAGAACCTGGGATGGTGAGGAAGTATCGTGTGTGGTTGCTCTGGGAGAAAAGCCAGAAAAAGAAAAATGCAGCTGTAGCATCATTTGGGGAACACAAGATGTTTGCTCTTTACTTCAGAGAAGTGTTTTGAAGCTTTTAAATGCAGCATTGGTTGTGTTACGTGTTTCAGCTTTCCTGTATCCCTCCTTGCTCTGTTCCTCCCCATGTCTTCCACCGTTGGTGTGCACAACTCCTGGGTCAGGCAGCCAGGGCCACCTGTGGTTTAGTAAACTACAGGGGGCCCCAGGGTCATCAAAGTCTTCCTTTGGAATACCGTGAGATGAGGTTGAGGACCATCGGATGAGGGTGAGAGTGGAAGAATTCTGACTGCTGTTCATGCCACTCTGCTCTTGTGGTGCCCGTGCCACCCTGTTTGTTCTCGGGAAGATGACCTGGGAGGAGGGGATGGGGTTGAGGAGCTAGGTTTCCTGCAGTGCCAGCTGCTCTGAAGAATGGAGTCCAGGTGCACAAAGACCTGGGGCTGCGGCAGACTGTGGTCAGTCCCTGAGTCACATGAGGATGCATGCTGTGTGAAGGTCATGAC